TCATTATTTTCACCGGCGATGCTACAACTACGGACTGTTTTTCACAGATTCAAAGCTACGGACGGAATTGTTATTGGATCTGTTTAGAACACATTTAGATGTGACATAACTGTGACATCCTTGTTGCTGCCTCCATATCTAGATGTGACATAACCTGATGTCAATTATATTTGTGGTCTAATTTTTTTTGTCCTAGCTTTTTTTTTTGTTCCTTGTTGCTGTGACATCCTTAGAAAACATCTAAATGTAAATTACACAAACCGATTGTTATTAGCTGGTTGGCTGGAGAGAGGGTCCACCCCTTGATTTCACGTCCATAAGATTGTTTTCGTAAACTCCGGCCGTAAGTCTATAGTGGTGTGAGATCAATCGGAAGCGTGGACTTGGTTGAAGAGTCCACATTTTCACACGCGGGCAGCTGCCACTAGTTTGACCCAAGAAACTCTACACGAATGGTGTTGCTCTACTTTGCATGTTTTACTTCATCTCTCCTTCAGAAATATCGGTTGCCTTGATTCTTAGGTGTGCGACAACGACTGCATGTCGATGCGTCCAACATTCACCGGCGACAAGAGACGGTGTATCTATTTTGAACGTCGCTATGAAGACCTTACCCTTAAACATGAACGTATTGGCACGTGAAAACATAGGTAGCACCCCACACTAAGGATGCAGAGTGGCGCCCGATATGCGCCGCTCCCTAGTCAAAATAGAATAGGTTAGTTGTAATTGCCCTGCTTACATTTAGTTCAGTTTGAACTAACCTCCAGTTTAAGCGGGACCTTTCGGGACGCCCGATCGCATCCCTACCCACACACAGTGATGAAACTGCGTGTGTAGCAAAATCTTGTTAAATCCTTGATAAACCATTGTTTGTTTTTCATGTTTGAATGAGAGACGGGCACCATCTAAAAAGAGTGAATCAATAACTACATTCCGCTCTCACCCCCTTCGCTTTTCTCTCTCCCTCGGTCTGTGAGGCGGCGACACAACGACACGCGGCTCAGAACACTCTGTATGGTACTCCCTCCGTCCCAAAATAAGTGTCTTAACTTTGTACTAAGCTTAAGACACTTATTTTGACACTTATTTTGGGACCGAGGAAGTATTTTATATTGAGCTAGACAACATCTACGCCAATTCGCATTGGCGAGTACGTGGTGATCATGACTTTTGTAACCAGCTGGCTCTTAAGCACGCAATACACAGGTCAACAAGCGGGTTTGACTGAATTTGTTTCCGTTAGAAGTTTGTTAGATCCTACTCAGAGTAGCTACATGCATACTTTGTTGTTTATCCGCGTGACACGGATGGTTTTCCTACCTTTGCCTGAACCCATGAAAACTCATATCCAAGTAAGATCTTCGTTATTTCGCTGCCAAATCTTGCAACTTCCATTTATAGGATCGAAACCATATGAGTTTTCATGTGTACTACTAGTTTGCATGCAGTTTAAAATAAAATTACCACTGAGTTAAAAAAAATTCTCTTCTTTCCTAACACATAAGTTATAGAGGCCTCGCTTGAAAGAATGCTACTCAGATACATCCATATATAGATAAATCTAAAACAAGAATTTTGAGATGGAGATAATATTCATTTTTACACCTGTAATCCCTTACACCCGTCATTAAATTGGGTGTCCGTAAAATCCAGATGGAAGGTACAAAACGCCCGTTCTTCAGGATCTAAACAACCAACCAACCGAGATGCACGTAATAATTTTCCGCCTGTAATCGTCCAATCGCGCCCTGAGCCTTTTTGTGATACAAGCAAAGAACTTCTTGCGCGAGAATAAACATGTGATCGAATAGTTAGGCCAAATACAACGCAAGGTGCTTAGAAGAGGTGCTTGAAGAAATAAATCAGGCTTTTACCCAAAAAGATTTCACCCTTCTTTGTATTCCAAAGCAACCAACACCGATACATAGGAATGCTCGGGGGAGAAGCACAACAAGTCCAAAAAAAAGAAAAAGAACAAAGAAGAAGAAGAAGAAGAAGAAGAAAGAAATGCCAACAACGGCAGCTCGACAAAGCGCGGATGACCCGCCACCGCTGCGCCCTCCGAAATTGACCCACCATAGACCCGTCCGACCCGCCGCCTACCAAGCAGCACCTCCAACAAAGGATGCGACGTCGACGACGCTGCTGCCCGGACGTGTCCTAGGGTTTCCCTCGGCACGCGAAAGGAAGTGGCGGATGGATACATCCGACACCCTCCAAGAAGGAATGGTGGCAACCGCAAGTGTCACCGCATCGGAGCCGGAAGAGAGCCGGCAAGGGATTTCTCCCGCACTCCAAACCCCACCGCCCAACTAGCCACCTCGCCGCCCACCAGCATGCGCCACCGCGGTCTTGACGCCACCCACGCCGCCTCACCGAGATCACCATCACGAGGCCAAGAGGATGGAGAGAGACGCACGAGGCGACAGGAGCAGCAGCACCGGAGCCACGCGGGAGGGGACTACCTCCACTGCCGTCGTGCGGGAGGCCCGAGTCTCCGGCACCGTCGCGATCGCCGTCCGGACGCAGCAGCAGGGCATACCAGGCCACCCCTGACCCGGCCAGGCCCGATTTGGGTCCGTAAAGCCCCGCCGGCCACGCTGCAGCAGGGCGGCACCAGCGCCGCCAGCATCCACCCGCCCATCGCCGTTCCCCGGCCTCCCGGAAGCCACACCGACGACCCTCCCCGCCGCCAGCCCGCCCAGACCCAGATGGGGCCTGAAGGGCCCAGATCTGGGTCGAGCGGGCGCTACCAGATCGCACCGCCGCACCGTCCCGCCGCCAACGGCAGCGCCGCCGCCCAGAAGATCCCCCGCCACCACGCCAGAGAGCACCGCCGCCGCGCCGGACAGTCGCCGCCTAGGAGCACCCCGCAGCGCCGCACCGCCCCGCGTCAAAGCGGCCAGCGAGGGGAAAGGCCAGTGGCCACCGCCGCCAGCGCCGCCCGGGCCAGGCCCGGCGCCGGACGCCAGCGACGGCGGCAAGGAGAGAGGGGGGAAGAGCTCGGGGAGGAGGCGCTGGAGGCACGACCGGTCGCCCGCGGGGCGATGCGGTCACGAGAGTCGTCTGCCAACCAGGCTTTTCTAAAGCATCGATACTCATCTGTACAGGGCAGACACTTAATTAGTCGTCTCTCCTATAGAAATAGGCATTGACCCTTTAGAAAACTCGGTTTATTTCTTTGTAAGCATCTCGCTAAGCACGTAGCATTGTACAAGGCCTTACGAGGGATGTAAATGCCATGATATAAATTCTTATGTTTTTTCTCGCAACAAAAAATTCTTATGTTTTTCATATTCATGGTCTTTTCATCCTGCAATCAAAGAGGCGAAGTGGCCCTTAAGCTTGCAAATCAAAGCTAATCAATCAGAAAACGTATCCCGTGCACCGAATGAACTTGTGCACCTGGTGCACCAAGGGTTCCTGGACCGTTGGATGGAGAATGGAGACACAAGATCTACCAGCAAGGTGGGCTACTAGTACATTTAAAAAGCGATCCTTGTACTACCGCTGAATTGAGCGTACTTGGGGCATCTCGGTGATTCCATTAAACAAATGGCATGGTAGTACTCCTATATATTCAGGCGTTGAATTTTTTTATGCCAAATATTTTGCATGAAGTTATGTATTCTGTATTTCTGTTGTGAAAGCGCAAGTTCTGTTGCTGCTTCAATAGTTTCACGTCAACCAATTTTCTCAGGTACTGTATCACTTTTTTTTTTTGCGAAAACTAATGGTTTAAAGCCCGATCCATTCAAGCTACCTTGCTGTTGACACAAATGACTTGTTATTTCTTGCTCCCTCGGTTCCAAATTAATTTAGTCAATTTTGTCTAAATACACATTTAGACACTAAAACATATTTATGCAGATAAAGTTGAGTCAATTAATTTGAAATGAGTATTAAGTATGTAAATCCTCCATCTCCAGTAGTGCACCTAGAATGTTGTTGAACATTTCTGTGTACTAAAAATAGTACTTATGCAATTTAAAGTGGATATAACTTGACTAGATAAGCTGCGTGGGATGAACTCGCGTTTTTCTGCTAGCATGTCATGCCAACAGTTGATTTTTTTTTTCTTCCAAAAGAGATGGGATCTGTAAGGAAGATAGCTAGCTCAGCAAGAAGTGACCCGCTTTGCTCCATGCATGCAGTAATAATACAAATATGCTAGGCGCCTTCTGCAAATGTGCCCGTGGCGGGCTTGTAGGTACATCTTGTACCTTCCTTCTCCATCCAACGGCCCAGGAGCCATTGGTGCAGCAGGTGCACAAATTCATCCGGTGCACAGGATACACTCTCAATCATCCCAAGGATTTGACCCAACCGTGGTGCTCCGCCAGTGGCAGGAGAAAATGGTAGGGCACGCAAGCAACCTTCGATGGACGGTTGACAAAGCGAATGATAGTTCAGACTCAGACGGTTCACGAGTCAGCATTATTGCACGGCTTTTAGCTCCAGCCACCAGTCACGCGTCAATAATACTCGTTAGTGGTGTTCTTTACACCTGACACATTCCTTTCCTGACCCTATGGCGAGGACCTCGCAGAGTTGACCACAAAAAAAGAGGGTCAAGTTGGCCTACAAAGAGTGCTTAGCGATCTGTGGATTAATGGCGGTCTACATCTCTTTCTCATGATCTGTAGCAGATCGGATCTACTACCAATAGCACAGAAAGTCCACAGCCAATCTTCGTCAAAACTCTGTACAAGCGCATCACATGAGGCACAATAATGGCCTCAATAATATCCGGTAGGTACATTGACGGACTCTATCCCTTACTGTTACAATGGATGATTTTATAGCCACGTACAAAAGATGGGATAGTATGAAGAAATGCAAATAGCAGTTTTAAGTAAAAAAAAGGAGGGGAGCAGAAGAATTCATTCTCTTGAAAAGAATAGTAGTATTACCAAGATGTATAAAATCAAACATGTTTCTCCAATTAGAACATCTTATTTGCAGCGTAACCATGTCAATGCCTGGAGGTGTGTCAGCTAGCAACTTGAGTCTGCAACAGCACCTGATTTTGCTCGGTCATCTTCGATCATGGCTTTGATGTAGAATTCGCCTGCTTTGTAAGAGGACCGAACCATCGGACCAGATGCAACATAACGGAATCCCTGCCATTTAAAAACATGTCATTTTGTCAGCAATTCAATCAATACGTACAATGCAGAGTAAGAGTATTGCGTGTCCTGAGCACTAAGAAAGATTCCGGGGAACCAAAAAGGATAACAGTAGCACTGATATAGATTATTATGATAAAAGCAAGTTCCTAGATCTTCACGTCTCTAGCATAAGAAACCATGGTGGTTTACTAAACGGCAGAAGTGACAAGGGTGCACCATCCAGATTTGTTTATTTTTTCTTTGCGGATCATGATACTCATTAACAACCAATAAAAAATACTAGGTACTAGACAATGCATTGTGGCTGAGTAAAGTGATTTATTGTGTGTATGTTGTGAAATTAGATTGATGGTTAATGTTACATTTGACACAGATAATATGTATAATAGCAAATCATGGTTGATAATAGATCTTTGCGTAATCAAAAATTGCAAGAACTCAAAGTACAAGATGTGGATGGAGCATACCATTTCAACACCAAGGGCGCGGTAGTTCTCGAAGGCTTCAGGTGTAATATACTCAGACACTGGCATATGTCGCTTTGACGGCCTCATGTACTGACCAAATGTAATGACATCAACACCAGCAGCTCGCACCTTTTCCATTGTGCTGATAACCTGATCGGGAGTCTCCCCACAACCCAGCATGACTGATGTCTTTGTGAGGGTGCCAGGAGGGGCATACTCCTTCGCCATTTTCAGAACATCCATTGATTGCTTAAAATTTGCACGGTGGTCTCGCACACTTCTTTGAAGCTCTTCCACCGTTTCAATATTGTGTGCAAAAACATGCAAACCGGAAGTTGCTACCTTTTCTACACAACTTCGATCTCCTTGGAAATCAGGCACTGTAAAATTATTTGTGTAAGGGCACAGTACATGGAATGCCTAAGAGTAAAAGATAACAGCCGGTGTGTCAAAATAGAAAATACTCATGTTTATAATTTATAATACACACACATGTTGCAAGATTCGAACTTTGCAATGCTCAGAACATAATTACTCCCTCTGTTCCTAAATGTAAGTCTTTTTAGAGATTCCAATAAGGGACTACATACGGAGCAAAATGAGTGAATCTACGCTCTAAAATATGTCTATATACATCCGTATGTAGTTTGTATTGAAATCTCTAAAAAGACTTATATTTAGGAACGGAGGGAGTAGTTGACTATATAGGTATAGCAACACAAAAGTGGCACCCATTAAAATCATACTTGAAAGTACATTCATTTATTAACGATTTTCTAATTATCAATATATATCACGAAAGGAATTAACAGCCAAAGTTCAATCTACGTGACCATGCCAGGTTAAATCACGCCTTACAAAAATAAACTGAGGGGATACTGAACAACTGACAACAGAACTAGGAGTATCCTCTTACCAAGCGCTTCAATAAGCATATCTGGCTTTAAAGTCTTCAGCCTCTGTACTGTTTCAGCAAAATGGCCACTCCCCTGATCAGGTAAATCATCCCGATCCACACTTGTGATGACTATATATTCAAGGCCCCACGATGCAATAGCTTGCGCAACATTGGCAGGCTCATTAGGATCTGGTGGAGGAGGGGTTCGTGATGTCTTGACATTGCAAAATCTGCAAATTATCGACTTCTCAAATTCTAACAATATGTCATCTCTAAAAGGTGAGTCTTAACTAATACTCCCTCCGGCCCAAAATTCTTGTCTTAGATTTGTCTAGATACGGATGTATCTAACACTAAAACGTATCTAGATACATCCGTATTTAGACAAATCTAAGACAATAATTTTGGGACGGAGGGAGTACAATGGTAGAGTGTGATATGAGCAAAGAACTGGAATAAACTGTCGAACAAAACAATAATAAATCACTTCTGTACCTGGCAGGGCCACGTAAATATGAGGACACAGCTAAAAGAAATATGTTGCAACAATAACAACAGCTACTCTACTACTACTAAGCCTTTAGTTCCAAACAAGTTGGGGTAGGCTAGAGCTGAAACCCATAAGATCTCAAAACCAGCTCATGGTTCTGGCACGTGGATAGCTAACTTCCACGCGCCCTTGTCCATGGCTAGTTCTTTGGTGATATTCCAGCCCTTCAGATCTCTCTTTACGGACTCCTCCCATGTCAAATTTGGTCTACCCCGACCTCTCTTGACATTATCAGCACGCTTTAACCGTCCGCTATGCACCTGAGCTGTATATGTCCAAACCACCTTAGACGATGTTGGACGGGCTTCTCTTCAATCGGTGCTACCCCAACTCAATCATGTATATCATCATTCCGGACCCGGTCCTTTCCTGTGTGGCCACACATCCAACTCAACATGCGCATCTCCACTACACCTAATTGTTGAACATGTCACATTTTAGTCGGCCAATACTCAGCGCTATACAACATTGCAGGTCGAATCGCCATCCTATAGAACCTGCCTTTTAGTTTTTGTGGCACTCGTCACAGAGAATGCCAAAAGCTTGGCGCTACTTCATCCATCCGGCTTTGATTCGAGGGCTCACATCTTTATTGATATCACCATCCATCTGCAGCATTGACCCCAAATTTCGAAAGGTGTCCTTCTGAGGTACCACCTGCCCATCAAGGTCCTCCTCTTCGTGCCTAGTAGTACTGAAACCGCACCTCATGTACTCAGTTTTAGTTCTACTAAGCCGCCACTAAAACGAAATATGTTGCCAAAACAACAACAAAAATTAGCAGTTCCCCTGAAATGTACACCACAGGAACAATCCATTCTTATATCTGAAATTGCTACTCAAAAGAGACTCCAACAGAACTGGTTTGTAGCTTTGTCCACAGCCTACGCGACCAAAACCTTCGTCGATTTCAACATGGATTGCATACTTAATAGCACTTAATCCAGACAATAGAAGAAGAAAAGCTTTCTCCACTATTAATTTAGCATAAAATCAAGCATGGCACATCGTTATTAAGAAAGCTAATTATTACAGTCAACATCTGAGGATATTGTCTCACAATCATAGCACATAAACATTGAGAAGCCACACAAGGCCCTAAGGATACAGAGTGAAACAAACATTTAATTATGAGCACACCCATGACAATTGGCAATAGAATGAGAATTTTGTTTGGGACCCAAGCAATTCTGAAGAAGGAACTAGCTTGAAGGAAATCAAAACTCAAGCCAAGTGCAAAGAAGCACGAAATTTTCTACCCAAGACAGGACACATAAGAATGCTCCGGGTAAGCAGAAGATATAACAATGCATTTCACGCTGCTACCAGAGTACAAATTCAAAGTAAGAAATAAATGTTACTAAGGTCCTCCCCAACTACTGCAGATTTTTAATGGTACGATGAACATCAAATAGTTGCTTATTTTTTCAAACTCCCTCTCCTCGCTGCAAGCTCTCTGTAGTAACTGGTTTGCGGTATGATACAGGCTGGACAAATTCCATCGTGGTCCTTCCTCAACAAATTTCAAGATACTGGCAGGGACCAATGCCGATGTTTTATGTTGGCAAGGGTAGTTGGATCTTATAGGCTGTCAGAACAGGTCAGCACACCTCCTGCTCGCCTATTGTAACTCTAGTAATACCTGTAGAAACTCCGCGGCAGTGCAAGCACAATTGTGGGAATAACTGACTAGCCGAATCCAAAACCTTCATTTGTCTCATGAACAGAAAATAGCAACCTCTCCTAGAACTGTTCTTTGGTTGAGTACTCAGGCAAGTCTAGTTGGTTAAAGCAAATATAACATGTGAAGTTCACCATTTATAAAAGCTATTTATACATTGATTAAGCATCTGCTCTTGAGCTAAGCCGTTTCTGAATACAGTTCTCTATAGAATTGCTTCACATTAAGCATATGCTCTTGCACAACAGCTAAAATCGAACGCTTCTTAAATTACTAGCAGCGTTAAAACATCCACATGATCTAGCAAAGGCAACTTAAATACACGATAACAACAACAACAACAACAACAAAGCCTTTAGTCCCAAACAAGTTGGGGTAGGCTAGAGGTGAAACCCATAAGATCTCGCAACCAACTCATGGCTCTGGCACATGGATAGCAAGCTTCCACGCACCCCTGTCCATAGCTAGCTCTTTGGTGATACTCCAATCCTTCAGGTCTCTCTTAACGGACTCCTCCCATGTCAAATTCGGTCTACCCCGCCCTCTCTTGACATTCTCCGCACGCTTTAGCCGTCCACTATGCACCGGAGCTTCTGGAGGCCTGCGCTGAATATGCTCAAACCATCTCAGACGATGTTGGACAAGCTTCTCTTCAATTGGTGCTACCCCAACTCTATCTCGTATATCATCATTCCGGACTCGATCCTTCCTCGTGTGGCCACACATCCATCTCAACATACGCATCTCCGCCACACCTAACTGTTGAACATGTCGCCTTTTAGTCGGCCAACACTCAGCGCCATACAACATTGCGGGTCGAACCGCCGTCCTGTAGAACTTGCCTTTTAGCTTTTGTGGCACTCTCTTGTCACAGAGAATGCCAGAAGCTTGGCGCCACTTCATCCATCCGGCTTTGATTCGATGGTTCACATCTTCATCAATACCCCCATCCTCCTGCAGCATTGACCCCAAATACCGAAAGGTGTCCTTCTGAGGTACCACCTGGCCATCAAGGCTAACCTCCTCCTCACACCTAGTAGTACTGAAACCGCACATCATGTACTCGGTTTTAGTTCTATTAAGCCTAAACCCTTTCGATTCCAAGGTTTGTCTCCATAACTCTAACTTCCTATTTACCCCCGTCCGACTATCGTCAACTAGCACCACATCATCCGCAAAGAGCATACACCATGGGATATCTCCTTGTATATCCCTTGTGACCTCATCCATCACTAATGCAAAAAGATAAGGGCTCAAAGCTGACCCCTGATGCAGTCCTATCTTAATCGGGAAGTCATCAGTGTCGACATCACTTGTTCGAACACTTGTCACAACATTATCGTACATGTCCTTGATGAGGGTAATGTACTTTGCTGGGACTTTGTGTTTCTCCAAGGCCCACCACATGACATTCCGCGGTATCTTATCATAGGCCTTCTCCAAGTCAATGAACACCATATGCAAGTCCTTCTTTTGCTCCCTATATCTCTCCATAAGTTGTCGTACCAAGAAAATGGCTTCCATGGTCGACCTCCCAGGCATGAAACCAAACTGATTTTTGGTCACGCTTGTCATTCTTCTTAAGCGGTGCTCAATGACTCTCTCCCATAGCTTCATTGTATGGCTCATCAGCTTAATTCCACGGTAATTAGTACAACTCTGAACATCCCCCTTGTTCTTGAAGATTGGTACTAATATACTCCGTCTCCATTCTTCTGGCATCTTGTTTGCCCGAAAAATGAGGTTGAAAAGCTTGGTTAGCCATACTATCGCTATGTCCCCGAGACCTTTCCACACCTCAATGGGGATACAATCAGGGCCCATCGCCTTGCCTCCTTTCATCCTTTTTAAAGTCTCCTTGACCTCAGACTCCTGGATTCGCCGCACAAAACGCATGCTGGTCTCATCAAAGGAGTCGTCCAGTTCAATGGTAGAACTCTCATTCTCCCCATTGAACAGCTTGTCGAAGTACTCCCGCCATCTATGCTTAATCTCCTCGCCCTTCACCAAGAGTTGGCCTGCTCCGTCCTTGATGCATTTGACTTGGCCAATATCCCTCGTCTTCCTCTCTCGGATCTTGGCCATCTTATAGATGTCCCTTTCACCTTCCTTCGTGCCTAACCGTTGATAGAGGTCCTCATATGCCCGACCCCTTGCGTCACCAACAGCTCGCTTTGCGGCCTTCTTCGCCATCTTGTACTTCTCTATGTTGTCTGCACTCCTATCCAGGTATAGGCGTTTGAAGCAATCTTTCTTCTCTTTAATCGCCTTCTGGACATCATCATTCCACCACCAGGTATCCTTATCTTCGCTTCTCCTTCCCCTGGACACTCCAAGCTCCTCCGAGGCCACCTTACGAATGCAAGTCGCCATCTTCGTCCACACATTGTTCGCATCTCCTCCTTCCTCCCAAGGGCCCTCCTTAATGACCCTCTCCTTGAACGCTAGAGCTACCTCCCCCTTGAGCTTCCACCACTTCGTTCTAGCGACTTTGGCACGCTTATCCCGCTGGACACGAATCCGAAAGCGGAAGTCAGCAACCACCAGCTTATGCTGGGGTACAACACTCTCTCCAGGTATCACCTTACAGTCTAGGCACGCACGCCTATCTTCTCTTCTCGAGAGGATGAAATCAATCTG